GCAAATCAATGAAACGAAAAAATAATATATGTATATTACTTCCCATTTATAATCCTTTTAGATGAAACCGAAGGATAAATTACATTGAAAATAAAAATGCTTTCATAAACTAGCGCTTGCTATAACATACGTCGCTGCAGGCTATATTTAGTATAACAAATATTCAAAACTCTCAACATCGCTGGGCTTATTCATTGACATTGCGTGTGGAGATGATTCTTCCCCGCCATTAAGGCGGGGAAGTATACGGGAGAGGTAAATTTTGTAGCATGTAAGTCGACATGTTGGTTTCTTTGAAATTTCAAGCCACACAGTTACCGAAACGAAACATACAAATCATGTGAAATGTGCGTGAAATGTTGATGTTTATCTTTTCCAGCAATAAGAGATACTTCAAAATCGTCTTGTTATTCTGAGACTTAGTCACTTTTCGTAATGCTGATAACCCATGAAATTTGTTCATTTTGTTTTTAAAAGAGCTAAAAATGATCCCATTTCGCTAAAGTTAACCGGTCTATATTTTGTAAGAATAAACTATTGCGCATTGAGCGATTATCTCCTTTAGCTATAGGCGTAGTATAGAAGTGATAAATCTCGCACTGACCTTGCATTGCTGTACATCGTATCTTATTCAAGCTGTATCACTGAGAGTGAGTGATTATCTCCTTTACCCGAACAGCTCAATTGCGCACTACCTTTGAAATGTATCGTATGTTCTTCAGGCAGCCATCGAGAAACGTTCCAGGGAGGAATTTAGGCCAAGCCTGTCACGCGCACTCACTTTTCACACTGCTATTGCAACATATTGTTCAACACGATTAAATACCAGGCTTCTATAAAGTATGACTTTTTTCAATAAACAACACATGTAAAACAATGGGTTTGATATGAGAAAATTGTTTTAAATACTTCACTGTATGTAATGTATACCGTTTCATGCGGCGGTTTACGTTTCTGCATGGTTTATTGCTTTGACAACAAAATTTTAACTTCCAGCAGAGATTATACACCCGTATATGTTCTTTGCTTCTGGATACATAGGAAATCAACAGGTTGGTCTGTAGTTTGCAATTATTTTCCAAAAAGATAATACGGTTGCATGATATCTTCACGATGTTTGGGTTGAACATAGTTACATTCTTCTAAACAAATTTCAGATCTAAGCCGAAAGCAATCACAACACAAACCAAGTTAACCAAACGGAACCATACACAAGAGTGAGTGAGGGAGTTGGGTTTAACGCCGTTGAATAGTATTCCGTGTCAGCTTGATGTGGGAGGAAAGTCTGAAGTGATGCAGGTCTTAGACGTTCACCACTTTGGTGAAACCAACGAGCAAGGGTTTTGTGCTGACAACAAAATCGGGGCGAACCGAGATGCAAACACACTGTCATAGGTTTCTGGCGTGCCCAAGGGACACAACTCTGCATAGCGAATTGCAGCGCCTTCGGCGACTGGCCAACCATGCCCCCGTAAAAAACTGTAAGAAACTATTATACAACAAAGATGTTTTAGATGAGATATGTATTGCGGAACATTCCATGAAGAAACAGTGGCAATATTACACAATCACAAACTACAAAATACATGCACAATAAACGACAATTAAAAAACACAGGAACATTCAACATTCAAAAGAGGTACATTATAACAATTTTATTTAAAAAACAAGTGTATTATAATGATATGGAAACAATATGAGAATTGAGCAAAACTGTGGTAATGTTGTACATACATGTACAAGGAATTTGTTTGTAATTGTTGATATGTTAACAGATCTTGGAAGTTGCTCCTTTTAACAGAGTGTACCAAATTCTTTATCATGATTGGGGATTATTTGTGATTCTCTTTCCTGGTTGTATTATGTAAGACAGTGCGTAATGTTGTTCATCTTCTCAGACATCACATGTTTCACAGAGACGTTGTTCAAATGGGGTTGGTGTTTTTGTATATCTACAATTTTTTTCAATTTTTAGTTTGTGATTACTTAAACGTAGTTTTGAGAAAAGTGTCCTGTGGCCTTTGTTTTTACAATATGTAAGATAATTCTCAATATTTATAGATAACGTGACCAAACTGTATGTTCCTAACTTGCTGCTAGATAAATGGGAATCCATTAATGATTGCGTGATTTTTTACATTTGCACTGAAGTATATTTAGAGTGGATTCATTACATTTTTTGTGTTTACTATTTTAAAAGTTTGCTTTATTTAACCCAACCAACATTTTGACCAGAAATATTGATATTTGCTGCAAAAGCATGCTTTAGAATGACATTTGTTGTGTTATCTATTTAGGATTATTTTTATTGGTACTAATAGTGGTTATATATCAAGTTTTGCCTGACAGGCCCAGTTTTCTTGCCTGGTTTTTCTTTGTGCTGACCAATTAAAGACACTGTTTCTTTTATTGTGCTTTCCAAAGATAACTACATTAATAACAACCAATTTGTACTTTACACCAATTCTCTCCTCCCATAGCTTACACTTCCTTCCTCTGCACATAACATTATATGGCGGGGAGCTATTGATGCTCTGCAGCAATCTCTACTTGTATATAACTGGCAGAAGGTTATGCGCAATCGATGACCGCAGCAACTCAACTCACAAGACAAGAATTGACCTTCACTTTGTGTGAGTTCATTGGAGTATGAACCTTCATAGAGTGAGGGCCAAACTTTATGAACGTCGGAGCTTGCGACGACGTTCATACAATGTTTGGCCCTCACTCTATGAAGGTTCATACTCCAATGAACTCACACAAAGTGAAAGTCAATTCTTACAATTTTTATTCACAATTTCCTGCCTCAAAGGATGTAGGCCAAGATCTAAACACAATTTTATTGAGTACGACGTCGTGTGACTTCATGTTTACACTGACAGCCATACAACAATCAGCTATATATCGCGGAGTAAAATAGTTCCTCAAAAAGGGAGGTGACATGAGCGTATGGATGCACAACTTGCTCTTCAGAAACATCTTACGCTTCACATGTGTTCAAATCATATCCTCATTAGATGAGAAAGGTCTGTAAAGAACTACCTCAGTAAGTCAGTCACAATGACAGCGCGTCGTTATACATTTACATCAAGTACAAGACGTCAAAATGGCCGACACGATAAACGTGACGGGAGAGATTTCCGAAGTTGTTAATGAACCTGTGGCGGTTACATTTGTTACTCATCATTGATCAACTAGCCGATCATTTAAAGGTGAATAAAGATGCGTCAAACAGACACTAAGGTAAATTCATAGATTGCTGGAGACGGTCAGTGTCAGCCTAGACACGAATCGAGTCGATACTACGATAGTTTAGATGTGCATTTCTTCGTTTGTTCATTAGGATAGGCCGCAGCGAGGATATTCGTGAACAATCATGCAGTCACGTTCTCTGACATTTCTCAACGTATACTGAAACACTGAGACCAAGAATAAAGGTTCTAAATGATCAGAAAGAACGCTTATGTATGTTTTCGTGCTAGGGAATTCCCAGGGGTTTAGAGAAAGCAAATTCATCGCTCAACCCGGGGTCTGCAACAGTTCGAAGGGCTTGCGCACTCTTCCAAAATGGCGGTACAACTACCGCTTGGTTGCCTTGACGTTTTTTTGTTTGTTGTTTAACGCCGCACTCAGCAATCTTCCAGCTATATGACGGCGGTTTGTAAATAATCGAGTATGGACCAGACAATCCAGTGATTGACATCATGAGCATCTATCCACGTAATTGGGATACGATGACATGCATCAACCATGTCAGCGAGCCTGACCATCCGCGTAATGAAGAACGTAATAGAAGAGGCTTGATGACGAGCTGATGAAATTTATGACTACTTTAAAGATGTGGAGCAGACTGAGGATGATGGGGTGTTAGGTACCTTTGCTCATTTTCTCGTTGATCCAGTCAAGAATTCCTTGTTCCGCTGTCAATGTAAGCCGCCATTTTGGTTTGAGAACGAAGCGACCTCAGTCAGCGATTGTTTCGCTTGCAAGCGGCTGAAAGTTAGCGCACTGTTGTAAGGCGAATCGCTGTACATCGCTTACAAGCGATTGGCGCTTTGCAACGCACCCACGGTCTCGTGAAAAACGTATGAACGTCAAATTGTGTCGTTCATACACTTATGAACGTCAATTTCGCGGTCATGTGACCGACCTCTCGTCCAATGGAAAAGCCGTATATCGTGTAAACTTCAAATTAAAAATTATACACTTATGAACGTTAATTTCGCGGTCATGTGACCGACCTATCGTCCAATGGAAAAGCCGTATATCGTGTAAACTTCAAATTAAAAAATAATTGTTGCACTGATGTGTCTTGCAATAAAATTTCACAAATTATTTCATAAGGCAGAGACCATATACCGATGGTCTCTGCATAAGGTATTGTGACGTGTTTCACACACACACACAAACAACAAAAAGAAAACGTCGAGAAAGCAGGGTGTAAAGGTTGAGTGTCGAAGAATATTTTGGCTACTGGGAACTGTCCTGTGAACATCCACACAAGCCGCTTTCACCCGCTGCATTTCTTCGGTAATGATTCTCATGAATATATATACCGTATTCGACGTAATAAGCGCCCCGCTCTAATAACCGCCCACGTCGATATTTGCTAATATATTGGCGAGTGAACAATCTCAATTAGCACCCCTTCCGATTGATCAATGTACACTAGACTTATTTATTCGTGTAAAATACGCACTCGTGTGTTACATGCACCCTTAATTATGGGCAATTAAATCCTGGAAAAATATATACGTCGTATATAAACATTTCAGGCTGTCAGCATAGACCATGAAATTTACGAACTGTGAACTCTGTTTTTTTCACCAAAATAATATTCCAATAAGAGCCCCCTATTTCTAATTTTGAGAGCGCCCTAGGCACTTATTACGTCGAATACGGTACTGTCATTTTAGGTTCAAACTAGGCGGGGAAAACGAGAGTTGCCGTTTTGTCTAAAAACTGTGTTGCTTTAATGGGTACATCCGTTTTCGACTGTTGCCGTTCACAGTGTAAACATCGATCATATTTGTAACAGTTCAGGAAGTAGCAAGCAATGGAGAGGTTGTTGTCATCTGTGGAGAAGTTGTTGTCTCCGGAGACGGCGGCGGTTATAAAAGAGAAGGCAGGAGAAGGGCTTGAGTTAGTTGTCAGACTGTCAACGGATTACAAGCTCGTCCTTGTCGGGGCCGGGGCTGTCGTTGGGTTGTATTGGTGAGTTGTCATCTCATTCGTCTGTTGCATCGTTGAGTCGTAATTTCACCTGTTTTGGAAGCAGATTCTATTTATATAGCTCTGGGTACACCTCAATGCAAAAACTGACATGGCGTGAAAGTCATTTCACCTCAAATATCAATCAATCCCATTAGTTGCTGTGTAGGGACCTAGAAATGTTATTGCAGAATCTTGCGCAATTTCACTCTCGACCCATGCAGTGTATAATTTATCTCACTTTCATCAGCTGGGTCGGTGACCTTGGTAGCCTATGCCTTGAAACTGGGCGTCAATTGCCCCTTTTATTACCCCACAAATCTATAAATCCTGTTTGACATTGGTCTCGTTGTCTAGGTTGACTTATTCTGAGTCACATATTCTACCCTTGACCCCCAGCCCAGGGTATGACATTCCAAACGTCTAGGGCTGATATGGGGATATCGAGTTGATAGGGGGTCTCGGGTTGATGTGGGGGTCTGGGGTTGATGTGGGGGTCTCGGGTTGATATGGGGGTCTGGGGTTGATGCGGGGCTCTCGGGTTGATATGGGGGTCTGGGGTTGATATGGGGGTCTGGGGTTGATATGGGGGTCTTGGGTTGATATGGGGGTCTTGGGTTGATCTGGGGGTCTGGGGTTGATGTGGGGGTCCGGGGTTGATGTGGGGGTCTAGGGTTGATATGGGGGTCTCGGGTTGATATGGGGGTCTCGGGTTGATAGGGGGGTCTCGGGTTGAAATGGGGGTCTAGGGTTGATATGGGGGTCTCGGGTTGATAGGGGGGTCTCGGGTTGATAGGGGGTCTCGGGTTGATGTGGGGGTCTGGGGTTGATATGGGGGTCTGGGGTTGATATGGGGGTCTCAGGTTTCATAGGGGGACTCGGGTTGATGTGGGGTCTCGGGTTGATATGGGGGTCTCTGGTTGATATGGGGTTCTCGGGTTGATAGGAGGGTCACAGGTTTTAATGGGGGTCTCGGGTTTTAATGGGGGTCTCGGGTTTTAATGGGGGTCTCGGGTTGATATGGGGGTCTCTGGTTGATATGGGGGTCTCGGGTTGATAGGAGGGTCACGGGTTGATATGGGGGTCTTGGGTTGATATGGGGTCTTGGGTTGATAGGAGGGTCTGGGGTTGATATGGGGGTCTGGGGTTGATATGGGGGTCTGGGGTTGATAGGGGGGTCTCAGGTTGATGTGGGGTCTCGGGTTGATAGGGGGGTCTAGGGTTGATAGGGGGGTCTCGGGTTGATAGGAGGGTCAGGGGTTGATATGGGGGTCTTGGGTTGATATGGGGGTCTCGGGTTGATGTGGGGTCTCGGGTTGATAGGAGGGTCTCGGGTTGATAAGGGGGTCTCAGGTTGATATTGGGTATGATGTGAAAACTGGCATATATAATAACATTTTTATGATATACCATGACATCAAATTATAAAATACATTTGTTTTGCAAGAGTATGCACTAAGACATTGTCATGGGAAAGTTAGATGAGCAGACAATGCACTAAGGGACATAACTCCATTTTCTTACCACCCAGGCTGATATTGATTGGCAGTAGGACTGGGACGAGTCCAAATTGACTATCCGGGTACTAGAGGTGTAACGATACGGGAGGGTCGCGATACGATACGTATCGCGATACAGGGGTCGCGATACGATACGTATCACGATACAGTGTTTACTGGTACAAGCTAAGCCAAGTTGATGTCTCGATCTCTGCTATCTAAAAGATGTGACAAGTACAGTTGAAGAAGATATAAGGTGTTTATTTACTGTTATAGCAAATTGTCAGCAATACAGTATGTTTTACTGAAACAACAAACTGGCTTTGAAACTGTTAAACGTATTTCATGGGCGCGACCCCCTCCCCCCCTTTTTTTATTTCGAATTTTTTTTTTATTTCTGTATAAATTACCACCAAATACAATAAATAGATCTTAATTGTGCACCCCCCTTTTCAAAAAAGCTGTATCCGCCCATGTATTTTCTTGAGTATAGTGCGCACCAATGTATAATGTGCACGCCCCTCTAGCGGGTTCAATATTTTGGAAAAAAGAAATTTGAATATTATGCGCAGAAAAAAATTACACCGTACCCCTTCAGCGAAGTCCGGCAAACGAACGGGCGATGAGAAACTTCGTCAGTACAAATTCGAAATTTGAGATAAGAAATCACCAGACATGTTGATTTACCGTTTAAATTGTACTTTTTGTTCAGTTAGGCATTGTTTTATATCCAGGGATTAAGATTACCTTGTGTATTTTCTCGTAAACTAAGCCGGACACAGCAATCAGCTGTACATGTACACACGTTTCCTTGGAATCTACCGGTGATTCGGTCAAGACACACCCAATGATATAACTTTACGGTATTTTAATGCAAGGATCGGCAAAAGTTGTATCTGAAACTATTTTTTTATCAGGAATAATATATTCCAATATATTGTTAATTTAGATGCAGCTTTTACTAAACATATTTAAAAAAATAATAACCCTAAGCGAAGCAGCTGATCGCTATTGCCGGGTATTATTTTTTACATGGAACCAGTCTGACCAGTCACCGTCAAGGCTCCCGTGCACGTGATCGCATGATCGCGAGAATTACGTGTTGACATAGAATCGTCCAACAAAAACAAATCTGACTTTTAACGAATCAAAGTATGGCATTTATGATATATGTATCCATTCTCTGTCAACTAAAATTCCTTTCAAGGCGTCAATAGCTGTAATCTGACCGTGGTTTCTGTTAATAACGGTGAGTTGTGCGATCTTCCGATCGCTTCACACACGATTTCTTCGAAATTAATTAAAACAATATTAAAAGGAATTTTGAATAAAATTAATGAAATAAGTTACAAACATGAGTCCAGATATACAAACATCACTTTTTTTTATACAGTGTAAGTACATGAATAATTTGCGAACTTCAGTATGGATTTGTTGACATGGTATTTCCGGTGTTACGTGCTCACGGAAATGTCTTTCCATGGGGGAAAAAACATCAAAACTCATAAATTCGTGTATAATGCGCACCCCTTCTACACAGCTGTGTTTTTTGGAAAAAAAGTGCGCACTATACTCAAGAAAATACGGTAGGTAAAACTGCTGTTATGAAAATATCGTATGTATCGCGATACATGCTTTCCAAATCGATGCATCGTATCGTGGGCTGTGCATCGGGATACAATACTGTATCGCTGTATCGTTACACCACTACCGGGTACCCACATCACTATTACCCGACCCTACTCGGTTCCCGCTACAGGGCTCAAGAGTTTGGTACAAAATGCCCGATTGGAAATAGTTGGAGTGTAGCCCTGGTAAAATGTATTTAAATATGTTTAAAACGATCTGGTCATGCATACACTGAAGTTGACTGAAATGTTATTTTTATTCAAACCTATAGAGGTCAGAAGCAATGGTGCTTAGGCTGAAAGAAATGCGAACATTAGTGACTTGTAGTGTAACCATAGAGTTCTAGATATTTTTTATGATTAAACAATATATCACGTAACTAACCACGGGTCCGGGTAGTCCTAGGACCCGAGTCCTACTCGGTACCCACCCGACCCGAGTACCCGATTTACCCGTCCAAGCCCTAATTGCCAGTTCAAAATGCGGCAACAATGCAGTTTACCGGGCACAGCCCGAGCTCTACCATCCGGTCAGTTACCACACTATAGTGCTACCGCTGTCTCGCTATTCTGTTACCGTGCCTCACGCTCAGGTGACTCTCGCTTCACGATCCAACACCCGTTTTCGGTCTTTGGGAAACTTACACGTCTTTACAATCCATCACCCGTTTTCGGTCTTTGGGAAACTTACACGTCTTTACAATCCATCATCCGTTTTCGGTCTTTGCGAAACTTACACGTCTTTACGATCCAACACCCGTTTTCGGTCTTAGGGAAACTTACACGTCTTTACAATCCATCACCCGTTTTCGGTCTTTGGGAAACTTACTCGTCTTTACGATCCAACACTCGTTTTCGGTCTTTGGGAAACTTACACATCTTTACAATCCATCAACCGTTTTCGGTCTTAGGGAAACTTACACGTCTTTCAGCATTAGAAATTGGCACTAGTCCTGTAGTCCTTACCAAACTGCCCAATGGTAAAGGTATCCTAAGGACTAGTAGACATTGGCCCATTTTAAGGGTTTTGCTATATGTTATCATTATAAGGACTAGTGGACGAAAACTGTTAGTTTCTAACCCTGTCTTTACGATCCAACACCCGTATTTGGTCTTAAGGAAACTTCCACGTCTTTACAATCCAACACCCCTTTTCAGCCCTTAGGGTTAGCTTGCTTTGGGCAAGGGTTAGTCATAATTTCTTACCTTTTCAAGCGTTAATCCAGTTAAGCCGATTGGTCGGTCATGTTGACATAAACAATGGCGGGGTTGGTTTCAAGAAAAGATGAATGGGAGAGTGGACGGTGACTTCACACGCATGCACAATTCATTGTCTTCTGAATTTCGCATGCTTGTTAATATGGGGTGCTAAGTACCCGTTAAACGAGCACTGATTACACTCATGGTCCAGTGGTAGAGCGTCGGCTAATTAACACATCAATTAGCCAAGCCTGGTGAGCCAGTGAAGCGCGTTCGAGCCCCCACAGCGCTAGTTGGATCTGAAAAAGTGCGCCCAGTAAAGTGCACTACTCCCCAATTGCAATGACAAGCCATATCAGACCAACAAGGGGTATGACAGTTTCTATCTTGCCTCTATTGCACATGGAAAGTGCCTCCTATCATTAATAGGTATATTATACAATACCACTTAATATTCTACTGTAGCAATACCTCAAAACACAACTCGTGAAGATCTGGGTAACTTTTTATTTACATCCTTAAAGAGGCTGTACATAATGTTGATATCTCATATAAGAAATAAACAACTAGTGGTCGTTGTATATCGTACAGTAAAATACTGCCGGGAGAATAAACAACTCGGGGCTGCACCCTGCAGTGTTTTAGTAAACAGCACCCACTTGTTGTTTATTCTTTGATAACACTCAATATATACTATTACTACAGCTATACCTCAAAACAACCTGTGAAGATCCAGGTTAGAATAGGTCTTCAGCACCCCATGCTTGCCGTAAGAGGGGATTATGCTTGTCGTTAGAGGCAACTAACTTGGTCAGACTCGCTGACTTGGTTGATGCATGTCATTGTATCCCAATTCCGTAGATCGATGCTCATGATGTCAACCACTGGATTGTCAGATCCATATTATAAGTGTGGTGTTCAACAAAAAACAAAAGTAAAAACAGTCCACTCACACAGTCTATTCACCCTTGTTTCAGGTACACCACCTGGACACATGGATTCTTCAAGAAGTTGGGAATTCCCGGTCCAAAGCCAGGAATAATTGGAGCACTTGGTCAATACAAGAAATATGTGAGTTAAACCATCATCTTTTGATTTCTTGCATTGAAGGTCTGTGAACTTGGGAAAGGCGAGATATTCAGAACTTCTTGTGGGTATTGATAAGACATGTATCCTGAAACACTGGTGCCAATCTGATAAATCGCATGATATTCGAACTAATAGTGATCAAGTCAAAATTATGAGTTTCAATTAATTTGCCCTTTGTTTTCTCTTAAGTATATATCAAACTTAAAAAAGAATCCAAGATGTTTACAACATGATGAATCCTAAAAGTCAACAACACAACACACTTGTGAGACTCTCATGGGTCCATCCTTTGGAACTGAACTTAAGGGCTCTTCTATAAAATAATTATGTAATTTTGTATTTTATAGTTACCTAGATTATCATGTATGTAGTGTAGATTTTGTTTGAATTAAAAAACCACCCCCTGCTTTTAACATTATTCCAGTCATATCACGGCGTGTCAGCGTAATGTGGGAGGCAAGCCCGAAGTGATGCAGGTGTCAGACGTTTACCACTTTGGTAAAACCCACGAGCACGGGTTTGGTGCTGACAAACCTAGAAACATAATTTGGGCGAACCGGGATTCGAACCCACAATCATAGGTTTCTGGCCCAAGGGACGCAACTCTGCACAGCGAATCGCGGCGCCTTAGACGACGGGGCCACCCGTGTCCCCCCCAGGTATCAAAAAGGGGTAACAGAACTGTTCAGAGAATTGACAAAAAAAATCAATGGAAAAACCTTCCTGTTGTGAGTTTAGTGGACATCTTCACTCATGTTTTATGTTTTATTGCGCCACTGTGCTATCCACTACCATCATTACATAATGTGAACATCAGCTATGAATATCTGTACAACTCTTTCCTAGAACGCGGGGTCGGTATGACCCCAATGACAGCGGTATTTTGAGGAATCACTGTATGTGAATGAAGGTGAGCTTCTGTACCTCGGGTAATCAGGTTCATTTTAAACCAGCCAGTGTTTTTATTTTAAAAAATTTGCTTTCCATTTTAGGGGACCATTTCTAAACATGACCAACAGATGATTGAGAAATACGGCAAGGTTGTAGGGTAAGTACAATATTTCAGATATTCAGATAGTTTAAAGATAATGCAACTGAATTTCAGTTCAAGAAAGACCTGCAAATCATAGGTAATAACAAGCTTCCAATGTTATCAACAAAGGGCTCACACATCTAAATTCGCTCAAGTTCAATCACGGGTCACATTAATATCGTGCATGACTACCACCTGCTACAAGAGATAAAAAATTCTCTGTCACACAAAAATAGTCAATCTCCTGATTATATCACATGCGATATGTCGCCATTTGAAAGCCCTGGATCAGTTCTTGTCATTAGGCTGGGGGATGTGGTCGCTGTCAAACATGACAAGCCATGTCCCAGAGATGTTATGTGGAGGACATGTCACGAAGGATGCAGGCCACAACAGACATTGACATTGTGTGCTGCAAGGACGTTTTGTTCGATTCAGGCTGTATGGGGCCCCGCATTGTCAAAAGGGACACCATGTTGTACAAATTTCTCTGACGATGATGTTGCTCTGTCAATAACTGTTCTCTGTAAAGTCTGTGAACCCAAATTCCTTGAGCCCTGAGTTGCCTTGCCAACATCTGTCAACTAACCCCCTAGGGCATTTGTCGCTGATGACATTCCGGAGATGCAAAGTACACAAGTACAGGTCTTCATTGTGCATTGTTACCCTGGGTCTACCTGTTCTTGGCCTGACTGATATCTGCCTGGTCTGTCTGTAAGGTTGTATCAGGTTAGTTACAGCAACACAGGAGCAACCCAAAGTACTAGCAATGTGGGCATGGGCGGCTCTTGTCTGTATCACACCCAGGGGAGCTCGGGTAAAGTGGTAGTTTCTTTTGTCCGTCAGTTTACATCTACATTACTGTGTTTTGACATCACCTCTGAATCCAATTAATCTAAATTAACTGAACTATTATAAATATATTTTTATTTTTTCCAGTCTTTTCCATATGCGCCAACCGATATACCTCATTGCTGACACGGACATAATAAAACAGATCACAGTTAAGGAATTTGCATCGTTCATCAACCGCTCAGTAAGTAAGATATTCATTTTCAAATAAATCCCAGTGTGAAGACCTCACTTTAATTGGCCCAGGATATAACCGGTCCCCAGGACTGGATAGCTTGGTTTGACCATTATACAATTTTGACTGCTTGTAGTGGTTTGACTGCTTGTAGTGGTTTGACTGCTTGTAGTGGTTTGACAGTGCAGGCAACCTTTCCCACCACAAGTCCACAGCAACAGTCAAATTTAACAAAAAATGGAAATCTGAATTCTTTAAAACTTGCCGCAGATCTTTTAGAATCCAGGAAACAAAAGTTCATGAAAATAGTGAAATACACAGGTCTGAATACAGCAAACTTGCAGAACTAATTCTTTGTGATCGGCACGAGAACAGTCACTCATGCAGTTACAATCACAACAAACAGACACTTTGAAACTTCCGATAAGGTTGTTTACTGGATATCAAGGTGTGAAAAGCCATATACAGATTTCCTCAAAATAAGTACTGGAGCACATTGTCAAGTTTATTTTCTCTTTATTTAATATTCAAATAGCTGAAAATACAGTGTTTCAAGGTACATGTATGATAAAATGGTGCAGCCAATATTTGGGTGTGCAGCCTGATTACTTCACTTGGTTGCTCCTGGTGCAGGTGGTAAAACAAACTGCATGCAGAGCTCCAGATAAGCTGCGTATCTGCGTGAAATACGCATCAGAAATGCAGAAATACGCAGTAAAATATAATCCAAGCGTATCAAATACGCAACAAACATTACAGATACGCTACAAAAATAAAATTTGTACGTATCATCAAAATATTGTGAAGTAACCCTGCGTATTCGATTAGCAAATCAGCAACTTATTTTGAAATTATAAACGGGCATTCCGTCAACCTTGCCAAACTCCACGATGACAGTCACATCATGATCATTTGCCATCACACTTTTGTGTGGAAGTATCGTGGTATTTTTGAGTCCTATAAAGCTCTCAAACCCACACGACACCAGTTTGCAGGGACTAGATGAATAGTGTTTTTAAATATTTAACTTAAATACCCACATGTGTAAAAACTAATGGGTAACAGAAATTTGAATACGCAGATAGAATTACTGATACCCAATGATTTTAAAATGCATGGGTAAAATACCCACAACACCAAAAGCTTATCTGGAGCTCTGTGCATGTTTGCTTCTTTCACCTTTATTTTGTTTGATTGGAATTAAGTCAGTTTGCCATTTCTCCATTTGCAGACAATCACATTGCCACATCTCCTCTAAAGGCACCATGCATATGAAAAGTTATGTGAAAGGTGCCAGCCATGGTGTCTGTAAAGTTCCTCACGGAATTCTGGTCCGACTTGATAAATATCCACCATCCAAAAATAAATGATCTCGCAGACAAGTCATCATTGTCTCAACCTCTTTGTGCAGGTATCCCAAATTCCTGTTGCAGAAAATATGTGAACATCATCGCTGACAGTAAATGTTCTTAAATGGCTGTCAGAGCTACAGTGCTGTTGCAATCTTATTTAAACTTTCAGAAAGGCTCCAACTTTCCACGAGACCCACTGTTTAAGGAGTCGCTTGTTTTCTTGGTTGATGATCACTGGAAGTTCATTCGAGGCATCCTGAGTCCCACGTTCACAGCAGGCAGGATGAAGGAGGTAATGTCATGCTCAGGTCATGTCCTGATTGTCCTGAGTCCCACGTTCACAGCAGGCAGGATGAAGGAGGTAATGTCATGCTCAGGTCATGTCATGTCCTGATTGTCCTGAGTCCCACATTCACAGCAGGCAGGATGAAGGAGGTAATGTCATGCTCAGGTCATGTCATGTCCTGATTGTCCTGAGTCCCACATTCACAGCAGGCAGGATGAAGGAGGTAATGTCATGCTCAGGTCATGTCATGTCCTGATTGTCCTGAGTCCCACATTCACAGCAGGCAGGATGAAGGAGGTAATGTCATGCTCAGGTCATGTCATGTCCTGATTGTCCTGAGTCCCACATTCACAGCAGGCAGGATGAAGGAGGTAATGTCATGCTCAGGTCATGTCATGTCCTGATTGTCCTGAGTCCCACATTCACAGCAGGCAGGATGAAGGAGGTAATGTCATGCTCAGGTCATGTTATGTCCTGATTGTCCTGAATCCCACGTTCACAAGTACAGCTGACCCTACTTGAATCAAGAGAGAAAAAATAAAATTCCCTGACCCTTAATACATCCTCAACTTCGCCATGTAGCCATCATACTTCAAATTAAGGAACTATACTATGACTGGAATGATTAAATGGTTGGAGGACTGAATGGAGGAATATTTATTGACAGATGATACCGCTGATGCAGACTTGCATGGCTTCTCTAGTGACAAACCTCTGGAAAACTACAGAAGAAGGCACGAAAACAGTCAAAATGAGAGAGTAAGTAAACTTAAAACTCATAGGTTGAGAGTCCCTGTGTAGATTCTGGGGCTGAAGATGTCCCCAGTTCCTCATGCTTGGTGCAAGGGTCCAGTAACATTGTGTCGGGAGGTCAGGTTGATTTGTGTCATCATGGCCTGATGACGTTGATTGTTGCTCATGCTTGGTGCAAGGGTCCAGTAACATTGTGTCTGGTGGTCAGGCTGATTTGTGTCATCATTGCCTGATGGTGTGGATCGTTGCTCATGCTTGGTGCAAGGGTCCAGTAACATTGTGTCGGGTGGTCAGGCTGCTTTGTGTCATCATTGCCTGATGGTGTGGATCGTTGCTCATGCTTGTTGCAAGGGTCCAGTAACATTGTGTCGGGTGGTCAGGCTGCTTTGTGTCATCATGACCTGATGGTGTGGATCGTTGCTCATGCTTTCAGTCACTGGTTGCCTGGTCCAGTTATTTACATCATGTTGTAGCACGAAAACTGCTGACTGTGCATTAAACAATCACTTACTCACTTCAAGTTATTCTAAGCAGGAAATGTCCCTTGTCATAGAAGTTGACAAAATAAATGGTCGAGTGGATTGATGTCGTTTGACAATCACCTGTAACTTCAGAATCATTTGTAAGGCCATTTTCACTTTGAGATACTACAGCAACAATCCCATATAAATTGGGTGGTTGGGTGGCCTAGTGGATAAAGTGCACTAGTCACGCCAAAGATCCGGGTTCGATTCTCCACATGGGTTCAATGTGTGCAGCCCATTTCTGGTGTCCCCCACTGTGATATTGCTGGAATATTGCTAAAAGCAGCATAAAACCGTACTGACTCACTCGCCCATATGAAATTGTGAATAAATATTAGAAGTGAATAAAAGCATACAATTTGAAATTGAGAAGAAAATATATTCAAAAAAGTGAAAAGAAACATGTTGACACTGTCCTCAATGTTTAAAACTTGACATTAATTTGTTCCAGCATATTTGGGCTGTATTCTCTGGATGTCATCGCCTCTACAGCATTCGGCATTGAGGCTGACTGCCAGGCAGACCCTGAAAATGCCTTTATAATCAACGCTCGGAAGATGACAGAAAGAGGACTCAAACTGATTGTTGTTTTTATGGTCTGCTGTAAGTTTCAGAACACAAGAAACATACACTGTTCTTATATGGAACTTTGCAAATACATCTTTGACTTTGATTTCAGCGTGTATCTTTCCAACTAAAAAACGTTTCCCATTCCTTCATGGAACTTTAAACACACATCAAACAAACTTATGCTGTTTAGGAATATTTTTATTTAGCAGCCTCATGTAAACGTTGATGCTTTTGGGTTTTGCCTGAATTTGACCACCTCCAGTGCTATGCTTTGTCTTTGTAAGCACAGGGTGATTGGTCATCTCATGTCACATCAGGGAAATCTCTAATAATATCCCTTGGAAATATTTGAGACAAATTGATATGTCACGTCAAAGGTTCGGACCAAAAATGTTTGTTTTCTGGAGAGAAGGATTAGCTGAAAGTCAATAACGCTTAGTCCCAGCATTCCTTTGGGTCGAGATGCAGATAGGTTGTAAGTGACCTACGTTTAGGGTCAAGGTCACATTGAAGGCCAATCGTAAAGTATAGTTTACCGAGATGCTGATTTTTGCAGATATTTTAAGTCTTATACATGTAGTTTTTATGTGATTTGAAAACAAATTCGAGATGCGCAGTATTACCAGTATACCACGATATGGAATAATAATGAACATGTATCACAATATGTTTGAATAATACCGGTATATTGGGTTTGTGACTGAATGTGACTTGAAATTCTGAAATTCTGAAGTTAGATTTCAGTGATCGAAAACAAGCGAAACTTGGTGAGCAGCTACCTGTACATCATGTTTGACGGTGGATGACTACAAATTTGTCAAAAACATCCTGGGGAGGTCCAGTGTCGGACTTAAGAAAGAAAACATGATCAGAAAATCAATTATTATATACTTTTTGTCATTTGGGTTATTTCTTTTCAGGTTCATACCAAGTTACAGACACATACAGTATATTGTGGTACATATTGCAATACATGATTCTATATTGCTGTACAAAAGTCTGGCAAATACCCTTCACTGGCCATCACTAATACAGATGTATGACAAGTGATGAAAGGTCATAGTGACCGACCTTCAATAAGGAGCCATATTTTCGTTGTTACATTGAATTCCTCCTCTGGACATTCGATTTGGTTCTTGGTTAGCACTTTGAAATGTTCTTGAAATACTTGTCACAGATGTTGAAGGTCAAATTCACTCTCAAGTTCATATGCTGAAATAAATAATATGTTTGAAATAACTCAAGAACTGGTCATTGTTGGTACTTATGATCCTTAGGCCAAAAGTAGTTAGGGTTGAGTGACCTTCATTGAAGGTCAAGGTCACTGGAATGATCATTCTGAATTAAGTTCTGTGTCTTTGTGTACAGATCCAAAACATGTGTTTGCATGACAATGTTTGTATGAGTGTATGCCCATGGTTTCAAATAGAAATAATCGAGCATGTGATTGTTTGAAATCGGGAACATGTTTTCCTTACCAGGAAGTAATACTTGTTTCTGGGGCAAATATTTTTAGGTGTTCAGGATAAAGTGGAGATAGGGCTGCTTCCTGTTATGACAGGACAAGTTTTAACCAGAAATTGAATAAATTCTGGCTAAAACTGTCAACAGTGATCCCTTGATAACCCTGGGTTCATCTTTGACAAAATAAATCCACTGGTCAGTCACTTCTGTAAAAGCAACAGATGCTGTGCTTCCATCAACACCCTGTCGCTGTTGTAGGAAAACTTTCTTGTTGCAGCTTTGTTTCCCTTCATGACCAAATTGTTGGAAGCTGGTGGTTTCAAGATGATTGATGCTGGTTGTCGAAAATTCTTCACCAAGGCTGTGCTTCAGACCATATCAGACAGAAGAGAACTTAACATTGTGAGTACTACTTTCATAACGCACAGAATCCTCAAACAATAAACTGATTTGTAAAAACTTGTTAAAGATAAGTTTACCATGACACATACACTACTGCCTAGAAGTTCATTCCCCTTACACGCATGGGCAACGCGTTACGCAACCAGTGTGCATCGGGTTGGTCACGCGTGTGAGACCCGTGTGCAACGCGTTGCACACGGGTGTGCACCCCGTCCGCCACTCGTGTGCAACGCGTGACACACTCATTAGAGGGGGAACAAACTTTTGACCAAAGGAGGACCCGTGTTAAGCTGAACCTGGAGGTGGTAACAAGGAGAGAAAATTTTGTTATCCTGGCGAAAAATGATAATACACATGTATTTCCTCATGTCTCCTTTCTTTATGTGATTTTGTGGGAATAACACGAATACTGTTGCGATTAAATAGATCTGTTTTGTTTTATACGACCATTGCTTCTAAATCCGATGGTGTTAAGAGAATACATGGCCCTGGAACATGTTATTGCAATTGAAATGCTTTTATTGTGATTTGACATTAACCGTCTGTAGTACGACTTTCAGTGATAATATGTATGAGGTTTAATTTGGCGGCGCATTGTTTTTATTGGACCCTAATTACTTTATGATGACTTGGACTCTTTATCACAGCTCCATAGCCGTGAGGCTGGAAAAGAGCAGCATGTAATTAATGAGGGTGGGTTATATCATTGAGGATACACTTGTATACTCATTACCTACTACAGGAAGAGACCTGTAGACGTAAGCGCGGGGTTGTGTTTTAGCTGGCCGTTCGATAATGGCCGCCAGGAGAAGTGAGCTTTGACTGCGAGATCTAAAATAAATAATAAGATACAGCAGTGTTATTTTCACGGTCTGTTGAATAAACTCCCAGCGCAACGGTCAATGTATCTTCTACTTGATCCTTGATACATCATTTTGGCATTCACAATATATAGTATTTCAACGTACAAAGGAGCACTGATCTAAAGCAATTCCGCGGGAGTAGTTGTTACCTGTGCATTACTGTATTTTCCCAGTGAGTACCCGGATGATATAGCAGAAATCTAGACTTGTTCGCGACCTGTGCTCGCCATTCGTAAGCGCATTTTTATTGAAAGTAGAAGGACGTATGGTCACACTGATCAACAAAAATGAAATACAGTTTTTGAAATGTAGGTATATTTGTGGGGAGCATCGGTAATGGTGATGCAGTTTTGATAAGTCACTTGCTTGGTAATTGTGCGATCTTCGTGTACACTATTTTGACTTGCAACACAAAGTAAATATTTCATCTGAACATTGCTTATTTTACCTTGTGTATATGTTTACATTCAAAATGTAAACAGATTTCACTAAGGAAATGTATTAAACGCCTAAATATTCAGTTTATTTTACAAATTAACTGAAAAATATGTCCATCTTTATTAATATGATAACGAATTCCAAATATTTGTTTATGTTTAATATCATCACCAAGTACAGTTCTGTATTGTTTGGCTTCTTTTCTTAGCATAATTAATATATTGTGATGTGTTTAAGCTCTCTTGGTCGTCTTTATCATTTTTAGTCAGTCGGTTAAATAAATGAATGGATTATTCAGTCAATTTGTAAAATGACTGAACTATTTAGATATTTAATAAATTGCCTGAGTGAATCATATTTTACACATTGACTGTAACATATACACGCTTACAAAAGAAAATACTTGTGAAAACAACGTCTTTCGCGCATCGAAAAACTTCCCAACCAAACGGAAAGGAACAAGAATGATTCTGTTCAAAGCTGCAGCGAATGAATGAAAACAAAATGCAAATATCATTATAACAACCTACCAAAGTTATAATGTATCCGGGAATATCAACATAAAGGAACAATATCCATTGCGTCTGCAGCTGTACAAAAATACTTATTCGATGTCAAATGTCTATGTGAGAATCAAATACTTTAATAATAATTATTTGGAAACAATATTTGGAATATATATGAAATATATTAAAATATTTAAATATATCGTTTTCAAACGTTATTTAAATGTATCGAATATTATAACCCGTGTTTGTTTCTTAACTGATCACTTATTTTGTTTCAATTGTTTCACATAGGTGCCAAGTTAGCTGAGAAAGCCCACTTGACAACTATTTTTATAATGTCCACGGTTCTTAAAAACATACATTGAGTTAGATAACAATGAACAACCAGTCAGTGTATTATCGGTTACCCTTTGAACAAAGTATGTTGTTTTTACATCTGTACTTCACGCCATGATATGAGTATTCCCTAGGTTTAGTAACCCTACCTTCACATGTAAACACTTACTTTTGACATATCCACTGTGCAAGATAACAGTAATTAATCAATCAACGTATTTCCTGTTGATCCTTTGATGTCTGGGAATGATCAGTTGATTTACAAAAAAAGTAAAGCAACTGATCATACATCTCTTGCTGGGCTGCCACGTGCATAACTCACATTCCACCTCACTTCAAACCTGGATTTAGATTAAATAATTACCCCAGGTACAAGAAAGACCAAATTTGAACCTTTATCGGGTAATCTGAGTGGTGCTACAACTAAGCATACATGTTATAAATTCATTAACTGAGCAGCAAGTGAATTACGACAAATACAGAAGTGTAGGGTTATACCAGAAAATGTGGATGACAACAAGGGAGTAGTAATTGTATCATCCACGCAATCCGAAATCCGCAAATGCTTTCACTCAGGGATACTTTTTTATTATCAAACTGTAACAATCAGGGGTATTTCCAAATAACGACATCCGATGAGCTTTCGCCGTTATTTGTCTGTTTGTTTAGGCTGAAGAAATTAATTACCATGCGCCCTTTGTTGAAATCTTCATAGATCACGGGTAACCAATCAGTTTTCAAAAATGCGTAAGTTTATTTAGCTGTCCTTGCAGACTGGTAGCCCAGTCTCTTGTCACGCTCGGTTGCGTTAACGAGCAAATTGACTCACGGCAGCTAGTAAGCCCAAGCGGAAATCCAAAGGTCGTATTACCTGAAGAATCAACCTTCATTTGCGAAATATCTACTGCTCTCAAAATCAATATTTCTCCCAATACTAAAAGTCAGAACTTTCTAACCAAGTATTACCAGTTGAAACTGGTCGATGGCTGAACATTCCCAGGGAAGACAGCCAGTGTCCACTCTGTGATTCTATCGCTGTGGGAGATGAATTGCATTATTTATTCCGATGTGAAGCTTTTCACCAACGGCGATATGAACTCTTAAATAAGCAATATCTTAAGTTTCCAAACATTTAAGAAAATTATGACCACTTACAGTGTAAGAAATCTTAAAGGCCTATCTAAATTCCTTAACAATGTGTACAATACAATTGGTAAATTGTATTAGTATCCACTCATCCTATTTTTATTATTTTTGTTAAATTGTACATAATAAAAATTGTAGATAATTGTATGTCATGTTATTCTAAGAATAAATGAGTTTGAGTCCGACACCCGAGAAGAAGCCAGGGATTAGTGCCCCTTTTTGAATAGTTTACAATCATGTGTTTTAGGGTTAGCTGTGTTGGCTTAAACGTATTTTTATTTCAAAAGAAATCTGGATCGGTAAACAAGCAAAACTTGCTTATGTAATACCTCTCCAGGTAACAACTTAACAACAGCTGGATATATATAAGAGAGTGATGAACATAAACATACAAAATGCACAAATGAAATACACGAAGCCAATACACTGAAGCAAGTGGTGTCTGTGAAATAAGGTAATGCAGTTTTCCTTTACCACATGCATAAAATTAAGCTACTCAAACCTTTTGCTTTTGACAATGATGTCATGAACTGATTTAAGAAGAGTCATGTTTGTAGAACTGCTTAACTACTGCCATGTAATATCATTTTTAGACCATACCCATGTGTGTAGAAATACACAGTGTTTCTGATATTATCGTATTTTTTAACAGTTATAGAAAAAGTGAATTGCATCTTCAAGGTGATATCCACAAGTGCAGTCTGGTATGTCTGATACATGTCGTCTAAACTTATCAGCGTTTAAGTCACTGCAGCCGAGCCTAAGGCGACAGTGGACAATTTGGCATGATCTATGAAAATATTTGAAGTCAAAATTATTAATAATTGCATCAGAACGATTAATTAAGGATTTGATTTCTTTTAATGAGCGAGCATTTGTTACTTAATCGGATAGAGGGTTCCGCAGGTTGATCATATCCAGAAGAAATGATAATAAGCATAGGTCTGTGTTCTACATTTGATTGTTTGTATGTTGAATCTTTTTCTAAGGTTATATTTGCTGTTATCAGAGAATTGAATATACACTTTTCAAATATTTTGGCTAAGCAACTTGTGAGTGCTACAGGTCTATAATTTGAGCATTCATGTTCATCGCTGACACTGACACCGCATCAGCCCGGCAGTGGACTTGACACAATTATTTGCGCACCGATTATATAACTCCTACAGACAGGTGGGGTGGTTGTTCAAAGCGAAACGGACGACCCCGTCTGTTATCTAATAAATGCTGTGCGGCGCCTTTGATCTTGCCTCCAACCATACACCTTATAGTAGTAAACGACGATCAGGATGGCCTGGAAATAAACACAATTATGTCTGCCCAGTGTATCCACAATTAACTAGAATGCTTCATATCTACAAATATATATAGAAAATAGATATTTGCCCACAGCAAATATTCATTTGCTTAATTGCATCAGTGTGGTTTATCAGAACATGTACAATGCTTTCATACGCTTGGTGAGGCAGACTGAAATTGAACATTAGGATAACGTCAGCAGGGATAAAAGAGGTCATACCAAAGAACTTTATTTACTAGTGGAAAAATCAGATATTCCGATCAACCACTACAAGCCCCGGCCGGATCTCAAGGTTGACCAGATCAACACCCCTAAGGAATATCTCTACGCCAAACAAGGAGTCCCTTTCGTCATGGTTCACAAGAAGGGTGGACAGGACATCGAGTACGACATCACAAACTACACAGA